CCCCCCACGCCCCTTCTCTCACAACAGAGTTACCAGCCAGACCCTGCTACTCTCCATGCTGCCGGGCTGCATTCCTCACCAGCTGTGTGCTGCACTGCAGCTGTGCACATGTACAGGGCACTTCATCAGTGGCATTATCGGCCACATTGGCCAAAAAAAGCCGATTGCCAATAGTCAATTTTCCTTATATCGGTGCTGATCCAATGTGAGACCAATGTATTGGTGCACCTCTATATTCTGCTTTTCCTCTAAAGCAGTCTTGCTTTATTCAGTGCAACAGGGTAGACCTATTCAGGGATACATCAGAACTGTGTAGTGAAGGAAACTGTTAATTATGGAAAACCGCTGCACCGTGTGGTTTCATTTGTTGCAAAAGTTGGACTGCAGAAAGAGGAAGAATAGTCCTACAGTTATGAGACTCTGCCCTAGGAACAGAATTTTCTTCCAGACTTAGATGCCCAATGTGATGATGAACAATTCATTTGGTGGCAATCTTAGGATCACTGAAGAAGTGATACAGACAGAGCAAACTATATGGCTTAATAATGACAAAAAAAGGAATGATAATAGTCAACAAATATACAAAACATGTACCCACTAACAAGGGACCAGAGAAATTATCCTTAAAAGACTGTATAACGGTTCACCAAAGATCGTAATGGAAACCCGCTTTCACATGCTCTCACTCAACTTTAAAATCCAGACTAAGCAAACACTAGAAAGCATTCAGCAAGGAATATTCATGCACTGATACAAAGACTGACTGTGAATATATAAAATATAATTAGTTTTTGGAATACAAACTATTAACTCAGGGAAGCCACTCAGGCAACACAAATTTTGAATTCAAATTACCTATTCTTTAAATTAATGAATTCTCTCCTTCCCCCAAAAATACAAAATCGGAACCCAGCAGTACTGTGAAATATGCTAAGTTGTAAGTCAAGGTTTGAAGCCAAATTATTCACCCTGAAATTTCCACATCAACTCATACACCATACTGGCATGCAGGCATCTAAGGACTTCTCCAGCCAGGCTCCTGCCTCCCCAGCCCAACACCCTAGAGCCAAGCTAGGAGCTCAAACTCCACACCTGGGGACACTTACTTACAGTGCTTGCCAGGCACGCAACAAGTGGGCGGGCACAGAGCCGAGCTCCAGAGCTGCCCGCCCGGCAAGCACCGCTCGCTGCTGCCACTCTGTGCCTGCCCACCTGCTTGCTGATGCTACTTTGCACCTACCTGCTTGCTTCTTGCCCAGCAAATGCTGCTCGCTGCTGCTACTCAGCACCCACCCACTCGCTTCCTAAAAATCTATATGACTGGTAGCTCAAATAGCTGAGAATATTTCTTGAAAAACCTATTACCCATTCATGCCATTTCAGTGCATATGTCAGAGATTCCAAAAACTTACGCATCTGAGTCTTCAGAGCTGGAGTCATCATGACTCTGTTCAGACTTCCACCTCTTGTGTCTATCAATGAGCTCAGTCAGGTAAGATGTTTTCTTTGCATTTCGTAATATAAATTTGTGTTTCAAGAGCTCCTTGGCTGTAGGTCGCTTGAAAAATAAAAAAAGTAAACTGTAAGCTAGTCTAATTTTTACTGCATCTGAAACATGTTGAGATGACTCTTAAAGATTATTGTAACATTTTCTCCCCAGCCTAAGAGTTACGTTTCTAACAAATATTAAAATGAGAAATCTTAATAACTTGTACATCGTCAGCTTTCTCTGCATTCAGATAAAGAATACAGCTTTGATGGCATAGAACGTCTTGGTCACTACTATAAAACAGCAGGAATTCCATCATGTCTAGGTCTAGGGTAAAATTCTCTAAGAGGCTTAAGCAGTTTATGTAATTAAGTTCGACTGAGATGCAGCGGAATCAAAGTCTGCCAATTCACTCAGGACAGTTCTCAGAAACGCTTACAATTTTTCCTGGTATAACAGTTGGAATTGCTATACCTTGTTTTTCTAATAAAAGTACCTCTTCTAAGTCAACATCTTGAAATTTTATTCTGGATGGTTCTTGACTCTGAGCTACTTAAGAAAAATCCTCTGCATTTAACTGCAAAGTAAAAGCTGAATCCCTGGAGCTCAATGGATGCCAAAGTCTATAATAATTAAGATGGTAAAAATACCTAAAATAATTAAGTTGGTCCACCACTACAGCCTATTTTTTAAGCACCAATTTTTAATAATTTTCTAAAACCTTGCTTACTCAAATATCTCCAAGAAAGTTTGTTACAAGTTCATGTAGTTAAGAGCCCTTTTTTATCTTAGTTTTTAAAATCTTGCTATTTATTAACATAGAAAACAGCAAATAAATCAAGTTCTAAAAAATAAATTCTTTTCCAGGAACCTAGCAGAGAATTCATATTTTTAGAAAAAGCTAGAATAAAAGAAGATATCCTTAGATGGGTCTTGTGAATTATCAGTGTTACTTCCTTTTTCTGTAGTTGCCAAACAACTGTCTCTCCTTGTAAAAGACTGCATCCTGAAACTCCATACCTGTAACCACAGAGAAAACTAGCTCCTAACACTGCCCCAAATCATCAGAATGAAGAAAACGAATATGGAGGTGAAAATATATTCAAACTGAGGAACCAGATACCTCCTTATCAATTCAAGGTCTGTTCCATACCAAATCCTTCCTCGTTATCATCAAACAAGAAATCTGGGATACTGGCAAAAGGAGAAGATATTGCCACAAGTCAAGACAGCAGAGTTTGAAGTGCAAAAAACTAAACAAACAAACATTTAAAAAAAACTTTAGTTTTTGAGTTTTATTAACGAAAAAGTAGTAAACGTTTCATACCTGAACTTATTATCTTTAGTTTGAACTTTACAAGATATGAACTTTACATGATCTTTATATCTGAACGTATGATCTTCCGTCTACTGACTTCATCAGATGATGATAGTGATCATCTTTACTATGTAAATCCACTGCTTACAAAAGCTTATGATCTCTGATTTAGTTAGGGCCTTGTTATACACTGCACTTCAAGCTGTTCAAATGTTGATCGGTGTTAGTGCTAGCTTGAGTTTGGAATAGACAGACACACCTTAAGACTAAAAACCTTCTCTGACTGTCCACCACCTACACAGCTCTGACTTGCCACTAGAGGGCTGACAAGTAAGAGTCCTGCTAGGAGTTAGTTACAGTTAAGTTGCCACTAGGGGGCTGGTGAGCCAAGACAAGCTTCTATCCCATCTCTAGGTAGGGTATGAGACCTGTTGTGGGGCAGGGCTGGAAGATGAAGCTGGGAGATGAAGAGTTAATAGGATGGGTGACATAAGCTTCAAAGAGCAATATACAAGCGTCAAAGAGCAATACCCATCCTCAACCAGCAGGATGGGGTCAGAGGAGGGGCAGGCT